GCCAACCACTGTTAATAATAACACCGGTCAAAAGAAAGTTTTACTCAGATTTGGATGTATGTGTCCCTAAAAGTATTTTTCACTGCTAATAATAATAATAATAATAAATTGTACTACATCAGGTTTGCGAGAGATTTTCTTTTTTTGTTTTTAATCCTTTCATGCATGAATTTGATAGCCTACATCGAGAATTTGTGTCCTTTTTTTTTTGGTTCCTTTTTGAAAATTATCAACTATAACTTGGGCAACTATGCTGTTAGAATAACGACACCTGTACCCACAAACTATACCTACTCTATCTGTCCTTGAATACGAAGTCATGCGTTTTGACTTGATGATTTGCACTGCATTTATTTCTCAGCTAATTGTGTATATCCATGTAAGCAGCAGTGAAACAAGGTGTTTGAAATGCAATTCCTTCCTTTCAGCACAAAACCGGTCAAGTCTACATATGTATTTTTTTTCAAATAAAGGACGTGACATCTGTTGCAGCTGGTAACAAATGCCACATAGTTTTTACGATGCTCAATTGGAGAGGGTGTGTACATTGAAGAAATTGTGGTCAATGCGAGGCAAAACAAATCTAGAAAGGTGCCCGCGGTGATGTACATTTTTCATGACGGTATAAAAATTCGGAACAGCTGTAGCTTGGGAAATGTATGAAGATGTGTTTTAAAAAGCGGCATCGCTCATTTGAAGATGCACCCTCTCCCGCTTATTAAAGGTGCTGTTTATTCAGCCAATGCTGCATTGCTGTGTCTGTGTAGATGGTGAATATTGCATGCCATTTCTCTCTAAATAGCACCGCAGTGCTAAATTGCGTGCAGAGGAATGTGAAAATTAAAACACTTCATGTTGGAATGCGAAGAGCACATGTTGACTTTGTTGGATGTTTTGAAACTGTTTTTTTTTTTTTTCGCCCTCACATCCTTTCCTATGCTCGCATCCAGCAATACATAGGATTTTATCTTCGCTCTCTCCTTCCATTCTCTTTGCCTCTTTTTCTCGCTCTACTTGTCTTTGGCTGGGGCCCCCGCAGCATTGCGGTGGAGAACAAAATGCATCAAATTCCTTCCTTCCGCTCTACCTGCAAGGTGTACACTTCTGATTTGTTGGTGCAGCCCCAAGGTTTGTGCTTTCCACGCTTAGACAGCGACACACGCGCGTGCACACACACACACGCACGCGCACACACACACACACTTTTTTGGTTCCTTTTTGAAAATTATCAACTATAACTTGGGCAACTATGCTGTTAGAATAACGACACCTGTACCCACAAACTATACCTACTCTATCTGTCCTTGAATACGAAGTCATGCGTTTTGACTTGATGATTTGCACTGCATTTATTTCTCAGCTAATTGTGTATATCCATGTAAGCAGCAGTGAAACAAGGTGTTTGAAATGCAATTCCTTCCTTTCAGCACAAAACCGGTCAAGTCTACATATGTATTTTTTTTCAAATAAAGGACGTGACATCTGTTGCAGCTGGTAACAAATGCCACATAGTTTTTACGATGCTCAATTGGAGAGGGTGTGTACATTGAAGAAATTGTGGTCAATGCGAGGCAAAACAAATCTAGAAAGGTGCCCGCGGTGATGTACATTTTTCATGACGGTATAAAAATTCGGAACAGCTGTAGCTTGGGAAATGTATGAAGATGTGTTTTAAAAAGCGGCATCGCTCATTTGAAGATGCACCCTCTCCCGCTTATTAAAGGTGCTGTTTATTCAGCCAATGCTGCATTGCTGTGTCTGTGTAGATGGTGAATATTGCATGCCATTTCTCTCTAAATAGCACCGCAGTGCTAAATTGCGTGCAGAGGAATGTGAAAATTAAAACACTTCATGTTGGAATGCGAAGAGCACATGTTGACTTTGTTGGATGTTTTGAAACTGTTTTTTTTTTTTTCGCCCTCACATCCTTTCCTATGCTCGCATCCAGCAATACATAGGATTTTATCTTCGCTCTCTCCTTCCATTCTCTTTGCCTCTTTTTCTCGCTCTACTTGTCTTTGGCTGGGGCCCCCGCAGCATTGCGGTGGAGAACAAAATGCATCAAATTCCTTCCTTCCGCTCTACCTGCAAGGTGTACACTTCTGATTTGTTGGTGCAGCCCCAAGGTTTGTGCTTTCCACGCTTAGACAGCGACACACGCGCGTGCACACACACACACGCACGCGCACACACACACACACACACACACACACACACACACACACACACACACACACACACACACACACACACACTTGCGGGATCAAGACCATCTGAGCACATCGTGTCAATGAAGAAATATGGTGACGTCGATGTCTTGATCTTTTCTTGAAAAAGAAAATTAAATGTGGTGTACATACTGTTTGTGATTCAAGGACCATCTGCCTGAGTGTGAGCTGCGTGTGGTTAGCTTGGCTTGCAGTGGCCCTCCAAGCTGGGTGTCCTTCACATGTAATTATTTTGTTTGCATGTATCCCTTTTGGAGAGAACATTTGTTTGACCTTTTGTGTTGTTGAGCGTATGACTCCCATTAAGAATGTTTTTTCGAAAGACACACACACACACACACACACACACACACACACACACACACACACACACACACACACACACACACACACCTTATGTTTTCCAGCAGTTTCTATTTTTCCTCACAGATGTATTTGCAAAATAAACTATTCCGAAAATAAATTGCTGCTGCCATCATGATGCCAAAGCACAAATTTTATAAACAGCTGTAGTACATTGATTCCGTCATAAAACGAAATGTTCCGTTTCACTCTCATTTTTTTTTTTTTTTTTGCTCATGGCCATAATTTCATTCACTGCTGCTCGATAAAGAAATTGGTATTAAAGGGTAATATCATTTTAGGACCCTGTAAAGTATCTATTTCTATGTGGTTGTTGTTTAAATTAAAATCAGATTAAATAAAAAAAATATCCGTATGTTATTTTTCTTATGAGAAACAAAATATTTTTACTCATATTTGCCTTTTTTCCCATATTGCACGGTGTGTATGGCAATGCACTTTTACAGGCCACAGTATACTATGCTATATTAAAAAAAAAATCTCTAATGACGATTACTATGACAGCACAATCGTTTTAGCCAGTGAATGAGGAGACACTCTTCAATGCTTTCTTTTTTGCAATCCAAATGCAATTATAGTCATTGGTACATATTGTATAAGAGGAGACCGGCCTTCAAAAGGGCAGTATACAAAACACTGAGTGTCATACGGAAGCCACCTGCAGTAAGTCTGAGGCATAGAAGCAAATCTCACGTCGTCCTTTTCCAAGACGATGATTAAGCCAACCAATGCTAGTTTCTATTTCAAGTTTAATTACCCACCTAATGCCATAGCATAAGCTAGCTTAAAGTCTGCAATTAAGAAGAAACAGAATGGCACCTGGAGCGCAGTGTCTGATGGTGGGATGTCATTCGTCATATATTGCAAGAGAGCAGCCAAACGGATGACTGACATGCAAAGGACAATTATCAGCAGCCAATGGGAAACGACAATGTCAGGTACTTTGGAGCAGCATGAGTGCAGACATGCAATGTATTTCGAGTTTAAATGACTACACAGACTCAACATTCTCTTTGTGCTGCCAGCAAGCGGTTGCTGCATGCTCCGGCCGCACTGTGTGAAGATTTGCTTTGAAGATGCACAACTATGAATGGCTGCGTCACGGTGGATCGTGTGGGCACGTGCGACAACGGATCACTACTGACCACACCCAACTGGGGGGGAAGGGGTTGGCTGTGGTCAGTGGTGCAACAGACTTGAACCTTTCAACCCACAGAGGTCAGTGCATCAATTTGGACTTCGTACACTGTTTATGACGTGGTGTGCGTCCAATTAAGGAGGCATCTGTACAGCACAGAAAACTCTGCCAGAGGGTGCGCACCATTCTCCGACTTGCTGGGAAATCCCAAAAATAGAATTCGGATGGATTTTCTGACCATGCAAACACATGCTTTGTGTTGGGGTTTCAAATCTTAACAAAAGGGGTTTGTCATCTAGCTTCAGATGATGTAGATAAAACAACTGCGGGAAATTTTATTTTGAAACCAGTTTCTTGTCATGGATCATCTTTGACCTTGAAGGTTCCGCTGAATTGCTAAAACTAGGGTCCCCTAGCCCATTATACTGTATGAGTATCCAGGTTTGATATAAACACTTTGATTACAGAGACAAATAGAGAAAGGACATATGTTTAGGGAACTACAGCTGACTAGCATGAGTCCAAAGCGGTGCTAAAGACAATGTTCGCAGCTTGAACTACATGGACAAGTAGGATCGATGCGGGGACCTCATCGGGAAACTCTAATGTTACAACTAATGCCCCAGGTCCAACTTGAGAGGCTTGCAGGACAAACACGATCCGAGTGAAACCAAAACATTTACGGAGTGTGTCACTTTATTTAGGATTGTCTGGATGTTCATATCCTGAGGGTGTCAAGCACCTTCTAGATTGTTTTATCTATTTCACATTAACACTTAACCCTGTTTGTGTAATTTTTGGGTTATCAAGCTAATGGCCTATCATAAAAAAAGACCAAAGAAAAAAAAAAACAACAACCAAAACAAGTACTTAAAGGACCATTTTAAATTGAGCCAGAAAAGCTTCTAGGCTGATTATAATGGTGACTCAGGGAACCATTTTAATGTTCTTCCACTGAAGTGCGTGATCAACAAATAGCTTAATTAAGCACAGGAGAGGGAGCCATTACATTGTTAGAGTATTCATTATGACTTTTGAAAGCGGGAGCAGACAAATTGAGAGTTGCCTCCATGCCTCTGAAGAACTACAGGTGGCTTTCTGCATTTTGTATACGGTTGACTTAATTAAAAAAATAATAAAAACCCGCATTGAATTATTTTTTTGACCACTAGGGGGGCGGAAAGACTCATTTTCAAAAACAGTCACAACAATTAGCAATTAGCTTAGCAAGTAGCCATGGCTGACATGTTAGCAAACAGTTGCCTACTTACAAATCCAGTAGAAACAGAGCAACACGGACATCCCTTTGGTCTCCTTTTTCCGGCCACCTGTTGAACGCAATTCCAATATTCACTGGCGTTTTAGCCCTTGTGCGGTCTTTTAGCGCTAGCTAAATATTCAACATTCTTCAGGAGTTACTCGGACAAGAAAAACGAGCTGACAAATGGCTCGACAGAACTTGCAAGTTGGAGCTTAATTCCTAGTGGTGACTCCATAAACTGCGGTCATTTAATGACAGCCCTAAAATCTTTGTCACTACATCTTTAGATCCAGTAAGCATCCTTGCAGGTTTTCCCTCTCTCTGGACGGCAGCAGATTTTATTGCTTAATAACGTGCTTTCAACCACAAGCAAACCTCTATAAAATGACTTCGTTGGGAGGAAAATCTCCAGAAAACCAATCATGATTCCGGGCCAACAAGAGATTTGGTGTAATATCATGCAAGTCATATCCTTTCTGTCATTGTGATGCAGTGACAGTGACCCACATGCTGAAGGGTATCGCCTATGTGCACACAAGAGTTTTCCCCACCACACTTCACTTCAGCTCACCGTCGTGGTACCCGAGGATGACGTGTAAAATTCGTCTTTTTTTCATTTGTCAAACAGAGATGATGTCGAGTGCATGTTTTGTTCTTTGCAAGATATATTCCAACATGTCTGCTCGATGCCAATCAAAATAAAATCTTATCTGTTCAACCACTCGGATGAGACTTTCAGTGTCAAGTGTTTGCAGATAAGAAAAGCCGCTCAGGTGTTTCTTTTTGATTCTCTTCATTGGCACTCTGACTCTTCTCTACTCCTTTCTGGCCTATTGTTCTAAACCTTACGTATAGGCTTACATACATACGTATAGGCTATTAGATAGTATCAACACAGGAACCTCTCTGAATTAACCGCGAGACCCTAGTAAAGCTGCCTATTGATTCTGTTTGAATTATTTATCTCATAACTAATGGTTAAGTGGGCAGGGGAAAGTGAGGAGGCATGGAGAGTTATGGGCTTCGGTCAGTCCAAAATCAGGCGAGCATATGTCCTCATTAAGTTCACATAAACGGTGACAAACAAACCCGTTTTCTTACCTGCCAATCATGGTAGAGTGCTGCTGGACAGCCGCCTCCAGCAGCCTCTCCAAAATGGTCCACTCTCCCATGGTGAAGCGTCAAGGCGATCAGACCAAACGATGTACTCGGAGGTGACCTTTCTTCCTCTTGGACCCGGTGGTCGTCAAAGGGGGGCACAGCCAAGCCACTATGACCCCACTGCACCGACCTCACCGTGCACTCTCTGTGAGCCTCACCAACTCCCTTTTGACCTCTACACCTGGCCTCGGGTGATGTTTTTATGCTTCCTCCAGGCCACTCGTGCTATGATTCTCTTCCCGGTGGTGGAGAGGTGCTGATCTGATTGCACCCCCCTCCTCTCTCCTCTCCCCCCTCCCTCTTCTTGTGCAGCGATGCTTGTCCTCCCCTGCCGCACCACTCTGTTCTGCACTACAGCATATGCTGTAGCTCACTGTTTGACAGGCATGATCACCCTCTCTTCCCCCCCACTCCTTCCCTGTCGTCAATCTCCACTCTATCTCCGGGGAGCTCCACTTGGTACCTCACTTGGCCTCCCTGCCATCAGTGCTGCTCTCTGCTCGTCCTTGCATCGTCCGAAGATCTTCTGCTACTCTCACCTCAGGACACGAGGCGTTTGGCTGATCCAAGCCGGCTTACCTCAGCACACAGCAGCGTAAACAAAGCCTCTAGCCCTGGATAAAAGCCCTGAATCCCGCTCTCTTACTTCCTACTGAGGACTGCAGAGCCGCAACAGCACACACAGCTCCTGTCTGCTGAATGTCATTTTATGACTGGAGGAATGGTCTCTCCCAAAGCTCCAAGCGCTTACAAGGACCCATAAAAAAACTGTGCTGCACACTCACACACACGCACACACACACACACACACACACACACACACACACACACACACACACACACGCGCACACACACACACACGCACGCACACACATTCATAGACACACACGCATAAGCATGCTGCCACCCAGCCCCTTCGTAATAAATCAGCTTCCTTGCTGCATCCAGCGAGGCTGAACCAAGGCTCTGCAGACCTCCCGTCCTGGCTTGTCCCCCTTTGCTAATTTAAGCACACTCCAGTGCTCAGAGTCGCGTCTGCTGCAGAGAGCGAGGGCTCGTGAAAAGCTGTCCTGTAAACCCTCTTTCTGGGCTCCATCATCCTGACTCCCTGCAACCTGCTCCTCCCCACCTTCACCTCCTCAACCTCCTCCCGCTAACCTCCGCTCTCCTTCTCCCTCCACCTTTAATCTTTTACTCACGTTTATGTGCAGATCTTTCTCCAATTAGCTCTGCTCTCAGCGCTCATTCCCGATCTCTGCGTTCCCTCTCCACCTCTGTATCGCTCTCGTGCATGGAATCGCTCTATCTTTGTCACATTGTGAGCATGCAACACCCCCCCACACCTCCTCTCCTCTCTCTCTCTCTCTCTCTCTCTCTCTCTCTCTCTCTCTCTCTCTCTCTCTCTCTCTCTCTCTCTCTCTCTCTCTCTCTCTTGTGCTCTCTCCTCCCTCTCTCCCGCCCTTTCTGGTAAATGTGCTTACTCTCATCGCAGCTTTACTTATGCTTGCAAGAATGCCTCCTTCTGGCCGCAAATGAGGGATTCTACATCTCACGCTGCATTATGTCTCATCATCGCTGCAATCCTTTGTTCCATGGTGTTTCCCCACACTCTTCCACTATACTCTCATCCGGCGAAAATGATTTCAGAAGAATTGGGTCCCTGCCCCCTAACATCCCCCAGTGATTCCCTCCTTCGCTTCTTACTGTCAGGGATGGCAACACACTGACTTTACCCTGACCCAACCCTGATGCCATTCCCATATTCCCTTGCCTAATCAGCCCCTATGTTCTTCATTCTGTTCACTCCTACTCCCCCTCCTCCTCCTTCATTACATCCCGCGTGCTCCCCATCCCTCTCAGGAGACGTGAGTGCTGTATTGCACTTTGCTGTGACATTGAAAGCTGCATTCATTAGATTTATATTAGGTGGTGTGGAAATGGGAAGGTCTCCCTCCATCATGTGCACATTTAGGTGGAGGTGCGTCATTGGTACGGTCACATATAGGAAGCCCGTTCAAGGTATCCATATTTCTGCATGTGCGGTATAAATGTAGGGGAATAAAAGCCACATTTGTGAGTCATAAAAGGGCTTCCCCATCCTCGGAGGACTGGGTGCAGTCGTTTAGCACAGGTCAATAATGCAGTTGTATGATGACCAACTTGCACGTCAGAATGAAGTCACGGCTTGAGCTGACATTTTCATTTGTGCCATCTTACCTTTTACTCCTGCTTTTTTTGGATTTTGGATGGCAAGATTTAGCAGCTTCTGATTTATCTGCCTTCCTATGAGGCACTGTGGAAACATGTAACCGGGAGAGCAAATCAGCTCTACAGTGACGTTAAGAGCAAACTCCATCATGCATTTTAGAATCCGTTGCATACACGTAAGTGAACAAATAGAAATGTCTAACAGAGGACAGTGTGAAAGACCAATTTGTCAGTTCAGCATCTTGGGGTCATTCTCTTACCAAGGACATATGGCATAGCGGAGGAGAGCAGCAAGGTGGAGGCTGGCAGTGAAGGGGGATGGCTCGAGTTTGGCAAGGTTCGGGCCACATGCAGAATGTAGCGCTGGCATCAGCCAGATGGAAACTATTGCTGCGTAGGATGTGAACCACAGAGTCGCAGGTGTGTCTTCAATGACCTGCAGCTCAAGAATGCATAAAAACACCTTCACTGTGTTAACACAAAGCAGCAGCAAAGTAAATTATCAAGTGTAAATTGGTCATATTCTAATTTGTCTGTTTTGTGATATGTGCAAGGGATCCACTCTGAAACTGGGCCATGCTTTTATGCATTCATGCTATAGGAATTCAATCATCTACTGAACCTACCATTCAGCAGGAGGTCACATTTCATTTCACGCGTGTAAACAAACACCCATGTGTTCCTGTATGCCGCTGCTATCAATTTATTCGCTCATGTTTTGTTGGAAATGATTAAATTACCCTTCCAATAACATAAATGTGACTGTCATTATAACGATGGTTAGCTTCCCACATCTCACTTCTCTGCGATATGACTCTGCATAATGTATTCTTTCAGTTTTGATTTGATAAGACATCGTGGTAAAGCTAAAAGGTCCATAAATGACTATAAAAATTCCTCTCAGTCAGTCTATCTGAGCGAAGTTTCACAGCAGCACAAATTACAGCTTTCAAAATGAATAATACTCAAGATTGCTCTTGAATAGATTCTATCAAAATTGGATATTAAACTGGACTTCACAGGAGGTTTTATCGCAAAGCTATTGTGTAAAACCACATTCATTTGATCTCGGTGAGTGAAATACAATTACAAAACTTTAATTCCGTCGTTTTACATCTCATCTCTTTATATAAAAGTATTATTTATTTTTTTAGGAGCGATACACGTTATTCAAATGAGTAAAAACGTTTGCATGAACTTGATTCATAGATGAGTTCATGATGATGTCATCAGTCAACCGAAATTAAACAACAGTAAAACATAAACAGAGGATTTATTGACCATATTCCTGGATTTTATAGTCAACTCATGAAACCTTTTGTAGATGAATTTCATTGTCTTCTCTGTAAAAAGCAAATGAACCAGTTGCTGCAGGCTTGGTTCGCATTTGTCAGTTTCTTTATGAAAGAACAGCAAGCACAGCAATGGATTCACTACATTTTCCGGCATAATATTTTAAAAGGTTTTAAACTTCTACTTTCAAACATGCTTTCATGTATTCCAAGTGTAATTATATTCGTTGCAAACAGAGTGGCGGTTTTGGGTATGAGAAATATGTTTGGCTGCACAGGGCAGTATTTTTTTGTGGGGAGAGGGGGGTGGGGGCAATGTGGTGCTAAATTTCCATCCATTCATTCATTCATTTTCCCATTCACTTATCCGCACAAGGGTCGCGGGGGTGCTGGAGCCTATCCCAGTCGTCTTCGGGCAGTAGGCGGGGAACACTTTGAACCAATTGCCAGCCAATCGCAGGGCACATAGAGACAAACAACCATCCGCGCACACCGAGGGACAATCTGGAGTGTTCAATCAGTCTTGCCATGTATGTTTTTGGAATGTGGGAGGAAACCGGGGTACCCAAAGAAAACTCACGCAGGCCTGGAGAGAACATGCAAACTCCACACACAGAGGCCGGAGCTGAAATTGAACCCGGTATCTCTGCACTGTGAGGTCGACGCCCTAACCACTGGCCCACTGGACCACCGATGCTAAATTTATTTATCAAATTATCTATTTGTTTCTGGAAGTCTAAATTGTCTTTGCTATTAATGTATTCATGTTTGATTATCATTCAATATATTAAAAAAGAAAAGAAAAAAAGGTCCACTCCAGTGTGTTTATCATTGGTGTTTGCTTGTGTTGTGGGAGGTGAGGGGGGTCTCACACAGGCAGGCATTCAAGTTGGGAAAGCCACTAAACATAGAGTTTTAAAATGTGTTACATTGTGACACATTAGGCTGTAAATGTTAGTAGAATTTATTATAATATATAAACATAAATGAATAAAGATTTTTGCTGTGCCGTGTTTCAGGTTGCTTTTGAATGTATCATATTATTTCAGTGAACATCTAATAAACTGCATATGAGCATTTTGAATTGTGTAATGTAGAAAAACAAAATATGATGAGAATCTTGGTGTATATTACATGATCTCAAGAAGAACTGCATTACAGTACATTCGCCTCACGAGTGACGGGTGGTCACAATTCGCCCTCCTGTGGACAAATGATGGTATAATATACTGTACACTGCATAATCCGTCCATTTAATTAAATACTGTAATTTAAAACTAAATACAATAAAAGTGAAAAACATTCATAATAAACAGGGGATATTATGTTCCTTTTCCACGATAAATTCTTTATGAACAAAAAGATTTGTATGACAGTGATTTCCGTCCGCTGTGTCACAGCACATCAGTGTGCTGAGAGAAATCATTTGTGTGGCACAGTAAACTATTCAATGTTAGTTGGTCAGAAAATGTATTTATTTCCTGCAAATGGTTTGTCTTTAGTTCTCAATCCATGCCAGCAACCGGTCTTTTTACGCAGGTACTGTATTTGTATTTCTATAAAAGTAGTGTAAATTCCACCGTGATTTGTTTTATCACCAGTGGGGGGCAGCACAATCATTTACGGATGGCGTTTTACGTACGCTGAAGAAGAAGGGCCCAAAGTGGCAAGTCGCCAGTAGACATGTCACAGAAGTAATGTACTGTAATGCTAACTTCAGTGCAGCTCGGCGGTGAGTGGTCAAAAAAGTGTCTGAAAATCGGAAAGGGACATTTTCACAACTGAAACCACGCATAAGTAGCTTCTGTCACGAGTTGGACGAATCGGTTTGACGTTCCAGATTTTTTTTCTTTTCGAAAACAAGTGCTTAGCTCGCTTTAGCTGGCTAGCTGGGAAGCTCCAGAGAAGTCACGTCAGAGCTTGTTTCACAGCCATGTCCACGGCCGGAGACTTTGGGAACCCACTAAGGAAATTCAAATTAGTCTTCCTTGGGGAACAGAGTGGTAAGTGTTATTGCCAAATGGACAGTCATTTTTCCTAAATCGGCGTTAAATTAATGTGTCAATTTGGATATGATGCTAAAGACTTTGGGTGGGTTGTGGCTGTTGATTTAATCAGTTGTCATGGCTAGCTCTTATTAGCCACGTAACGTAGTGATACATACTCCTCAAATTTATTCCGGTTCTTGCTTCCTCCTTTAAAACGTAATGCTCTTCTAATCCAACAGTAACCGATGACATTACACATTGACTTCGTCAAGTGATAATGGTGGTGGATTATCAACTTTACACAACAATTGACTTGTAAATCGATTGAAATCGTCAGTTTCAGACGTTTGTTGTTCCATTTAGTCTAGTTAGCTATCCAAGCGTAATGTTGTGTTAAAAACCTGGCCAGTAGCATTCCTGTATTCCTCTTCCCACCCATTTCTTCCCACTTTCTGGTCAAGCAGAACATCGAATTCCCATGTCAATTGGAAAAAGGGGCATGATTAACAATCCTTAATCCTTATTTATCAACGTTAAGATAAAAGGGCTGTCAATACAAAACGTTTTAAAAGCATTCTCCCAAGAGGGGTCTGATACCACAAGCCAATACAGTATTAAGTATGAATGTGCTAGAAGTCTGCATGACTCATCGCTGTGCTTGGTAACATGACCTCAGAGATTGCTTGCATCACTATCACTTATTGAATTGCACTGCTTGTTTGAAACTTTAGATTTTATTGTCAATATTAATTCAGCTAAACACGAAAGACACACCTCCAAATCAAATGGCCTGCTCTGAATTCATTAACTGTGCATAACGCTACATCCTACCAAGACATTTTGAACATCCAACTTTATGGCAACAGTTTGAGAACATGCCTGTGTCATTGAGTGCCATAAAGGCACGCTTGAATCAGTTTGGTGTGGAAGAAGTGTTCTCAAAATTGTTCTTTCTTGTCTTCCCAAAATATTGAAAAAGCATTCAGGCAATCATGCGGTGCGACCTGCAATTTGTTTTATCTTTAGTTGATAGTAAACTTCAAGTGGGAGTGGCAACAGACAGCTTGGCCTCTTTCTTGAGGATAGGGTTCACCCTTTGCCCAACTGCTGCTTGTTCTGAAGTTCACTGGCACCATCTAAGGATAACTTTGTCCAATTTTTGCTGCCACCTCAAGAAAAAAAAATATCCATGCCATGCGGCGGCTCGTATTTTGTTTTTAAAAACTCGCATGCCTTTTCACTCATAAGTACTTACTGTAATGCCCTTGCATGTGGGAAAGGCGAGACCCAGTCGCTCATTCACTTGACAGGCATTGATTTAAATGTCTCAATGTTTCTGTCCCACCAAGCCTCGCTTTATCGGTCACATACCTAACACACAGACACGACAGGATGTCGTTTTGACTTTGGCCTCATCTTCAAGCCAATGCATCTTGATAATCAGTCCAGCTTCGTGTCACAGTCCACGCTGGCAAGTGCTCATGCCCTAACCCCCCCACCCCCTGCATGTGTTCACGACAGGATGATAACTGACAACATGAGTTTTTAGGGTAGCTGTGGAGAGCTACGACTTGTTGGCTTAAAGCATTCAATGACGTGACGCTTCCTTCAGGAGTCATTGTTTGATATGTGTTTTGTTTTCAGTGGGGAAGACCTCGCTGATCACCAGGTTCATGTATGACAGCTTCGACAACACATACCAAGTGAGGCCAACGCTCATAATTCAGTGTTGACAAATGTATTAGGTAGTATGCCTAATTAACACCATGTGTCATGTTTCAGGCCACAATAGGAATCGACTTCCTGTCGAAAACCATGTACCTCGAGGACAGAACAGTAAGTTTTGCCATTTCTTTTTTTTTGGTCTCGCTTTGTAGTCAATCTGATGTGATTTTGTTGCGTATCTTGCATCATTAAAAAATGTTTTTCTGCCTTTTAAGTGTGAGTTGAATGCCACAATAAGTTGCTGACTCTATTTTTTTCCCCCCGCAAATCTAAGCCAGTGCTTCATCTCAAAAGGAGTGGATGACAAGTGAAAAGCTGATTCCTTTGCATGTCCCGAGGCCCCGCTTACCTATTTCTAATTCATATTCTCTATTCATATCCAGTTATATATTTTTCAATTTAGCAGCATTTCCTCCTCCTCCTTAAACTTTCTCCATCCTGCCTTCTAGATCAGATTGCAGTTGTGGGACACAGCAGGCCAGGAGCGATTTCGTAGCCTCATCCCAAGTTACATCAGAGACTCTGCCGCCGCTGTCGTAGTGTACGACATCACAAGTAGGTGGTCATTCCTTTCAGACGCATTTTGTTTCTTATCTGTAATCACTTTTACGAATATATGCCCTGATCAATCGGCAAAGTCAGATTCTACTACACGTTCCGGTCTGCTTCTCATCTTGTCGGTAGACGTGAACTCCTTCCAGCAAACCACAAAATGGATTGATGACGTTAGAACGGAGCGAGGAAGTGATGTCATCATCATGTTGGTGGGCAACAAGACTGATCTTGCAGACAAAAGGTAATCTCTCCTCCCTCTCTCGCTCGCTGGCTGCCGGCATGCTAATGAAGACATTGATTGTTGCTGCTGGAATGTCAATACAGAGTGGTTCAGAGTTTCCTGATGCAGCAACTTCTGTCTTCTCTGTGTGCCTGGCACTGCTATGATTGGCATTTTCCACCCCTGTTTTCGTTCACTTTCAAAAGTAATGAGCAAATGATCATATTGGATCTATTTATTCTCCATATATCTTCTAACAACCATTCCCATTAAGAGCGTTTATATTTGAGATTATCTCTTCCATAGTCAAAGCGCACATCATCCTGACACATGTATTAAATCTACAGGCAATTCATCAAGTAAAATTTGAATTTACCCCCAAATCTCATTTTTCACATGTACTGCCAGACAAGTAGTAAATGAAATCCACCCCTCATGTAAAACTTAACCCCCCCCCCCCCCCACCCCCCCACACACACACTGTAAACCTTTTTTTT